ACATTTCTAAGTCCATAAAATTCATTGATTCTTCTTCGAGTAAATTCGACATGCTTACCTCGAACGAAAATATGATAGTCCGTTGTCACTCAAAGATTGGGATAGAATTCACGAATCACCAGAACAATGGCTACTGTAGTGAAGTAGCATAAAGTTTCCCACTTCCGAACAATAATTAGCCATTTGATCTCTCCTCCTGCTTCAAAAATGATCGGTCCTGAATCAATTTTCTCGAGCCCATTTTGGTATTATAGTTATGTTGGGCCTTATAATTCACAATTCTCCTTGTATCAAAATCTCCCGTAGACTCTCCCCCTCTTTACTTTTGGAGCCATTAGAATTTCTATATAAATCCAAATAAAATCTAAATAAATTCACAATATCTTTAATTAACCTCCAAAAGTAAGAATATTTGGTAAGAAGCTTTTCACCACGGGTTCTCTTTAAACTTCTTCAAAAAACTCATAAATTTTCGGATTTCCAAAATGTAGGGTAAATTCATGGTGAAAATAAAAAATTTCTAGGTTAAAGTGAAGTTGTTACCAAGAGAAGATGAAATCTAAGACTTTTAGGTTTTGAAATCTCCTCAAATCCACCAAATGCGAAGCCCTAGGTTTAGTTTCGGCCTTGATTTAGAGGTAGGAGGCGACCCAAGCAGTAAAAATGGCATTTTACATGGGTATTTCGCGATTTTAAGTGATTTTAGGCGTTTTCGGGAAACTGGCGCCGCTTCTCTGTAAAATGGCGCCTCAGGTGCTAACGCCAAAAATTTTCAGATTTTGATTTTCTTCGAAAATCTATTGCGTACCACACCACGTCAACCTCTAATTAACTTAATTAAACCCATACTCTAATTATACAATTTTCTAACACATAATTTCACAAACACAACTCACATTTATATATAAAATCCGAACAATTATAAATTAATAGTTTTCAAGCCAACACACTTAATTCAGCATGAAATCAAACCGACAAACTAACGCTGAAGTCTAAATACAAATATTTAACAAACAATATATATAAGGTTCCACAAACTAACGCTGAAGTCTAAATATCAAATATTTAACAAACAATACATATAAGGTTCCGCAATAAAATTAAATCAAATCCAGAACAAACACATAACAGTAAATATAACTACGAATTCCGTACTAAACGAGTTCAAACATCTTCTTCACTATCATCATCTTGAATGTCTCTCATGAATTGGTAGTGGACGTACAAGTTATAAAAAGGTCGGTGAGGAAATTCGTCCATCGAATCTTCTTCAATTCAAGCATTTTTTTTTAACATTCGCACCAAACCTTCTTCAATACGTCCCGTGTGTTCGAAGTGTTCATTCATCCTCCAATCCAGGTAGTCAAACATTTCAGAAATATTTCCAAATGAATGCATAAGATTTTGTACCTCTTTTTTCAACTTCTTAATCCTTTTCAAAAGTGCATTCGAACTAAAGGCTGAATAGACGATGAATTTTGAGATGCTTGATCCATCAACACATTCATATCGTTATCCTCCCAAATTCCTGTGCAGTTAAAATAAACTTCTGGGTCCATAGGCTTCTAAGGGAGAAGCACTTTTTCCCAACTTTCATAAGGCGTTTGCGACTGGCTACACAACAGAAATATGATAGATAGATGTCCTAGTTCAGAAGTCGATCCATTGATGATTAAACCCAAAACAGACTTTACTATTAAAGCACCAACATCCTTGGGAGACATCAAGAACATTGGTGTACCTTGGATCCACGAATTTACAAGTTTGAGCGATGACTAGCCCAAGATTTGTATACTCATCATTCAATTACTTAATTAGAAGACCTTCCATGAATCAAAACTCAATCAAGATTAGCTAGGGGCTCTCCCTGAGTGTACCTAACCATCTAGTTAAGCTTTTGTAAACCCCTAATTGTAAAGCCTAATCCCCTTGACCACCTGTAGTAGCCTTTCAATAGAGATAACAAGAACCTTTTAAACCCGTCAACTATCCTATTGGCGAGTCTCGCACCTTACCCATGTAATTCTATGCAATCTCATGCAGTCCAAAGCCCCTTCTTCTTTACAAAGGAAAAAAATGCAAGGAAGTCTCGCCTTCTACATTTTCTTCCCCTTTTTTCATTTGCTCAAGTAGGGATGGGTGGCGTCAACCTCTCACGCACACTAGGGCTTCCTTGCCTCTCTTCCCTCGTGCAAAGAACACATGCATAAATCTTTTCTTTGTACACCTTCAAGCAAGGCACGTGCACTGCAGATGTCTTAGTTAACCCAAACTTCAATAAGAAAAGTAATTAATATTACTAAAAACAAATAGACGGTTACAACAAACACACTTGTAAGGGAAAATAAAACAACATACAAAAACAAACACAATTAGAGTGTATTATAAGGATGGTGGTGGTGGTCAACGAGGGTTTAGAAGGTGGTGCGGGGGTGGAAAAGAAAGTTGGCAAGTAAAAAACAGAAAGGCAGTTGTTTCCCTGGTACCAGACTGTAAGCAAACAACATGGAGTGATGTGGGAGTGTTGCCTGGGAGATGGCCGCAAGGATGGAGGGCTGAAATGGCGACGACATCAAAGAGGCAGGGCTGGACATCAGCGAAACAGATGGAAATGGGTGGTCCTGGCTTGCGACAGCAAGAAAGGAGGGTGGACATAGCGAAGGAAGGAGTTGTGACAATGGAAGCAAGCTGGAATGGGGGAAACGGCTAACCTAATGGCGGAAGCAACAAAAAATAGCTGGGAATAGATGTTATGGGTGGCAACAGCGAGCAGGAACGACGGTGGCAACCGGGGAAGCATGGGACTGCAAAGGGAGGGCTATCTCGAGGTTGCGATAGTGCAGGGAGAGGGGGAGGGGGGGAAGGATAATGATTAGTTAGTGAAGACGAGTGGTTGGAATGAGAGGCAGCAAGGTGAGAGGTGGCTGGAAAGGAAGACAGCTGGGATAGATGGTGGTGGCTAGCAGTCGGAGTTGCACGAAGACAACAAAAGTGTTGTCTGGTGGTTCCGAGAATGAGAAAAGGAGGATGTGGTGGGGGGGGGGGGGGGGGGGGGGGGGGGGGGACAAAGGATGAGAAATCGAGGATAAATATCCCCGCAAGATCGAAATACAGTCTGAACACTATTCGATCCTTGGGAGACGACCACCACCTCGGACGAATTATAGTCGGAACACCTTCCCACCTTCGGATACAACCCTAGAAAAGGAACACTAGTAGCCGACTGCTGTCTCAAACAGAAGAATAAGAAAC